GTTCATTAACAAGACAAAGGATGAGAAAATAAAGTGGATAAAGAGAAACAAACGGTGCTGGCGTTGTGCTAGAACTCATCAGGCTGCGAAGTGTGATCTGAGGAAAGCATGTGCCACCTGCATGGAAAGACATCTACAGATCCTATGTGAGGTGAATCAGAGACCTAGAACTGAAACTAATCCTGTAGTGAGGACACTGTACTTTGATAGACCTAGCGATCGCCCTATTGTACTTTTAAAGGTTGTGAAAGTGCTCCTGCGTAATGGCAAAAGAACCCTGGAAACATATGCAATACTTGACGATGGCTCCCAACGTACCATGCTTCTGACATCTGCAGCTAAGCATCTCCACCTAACTGGGAAAGCTGAAAAATTATCACTCAGAACTGTCCATCAAGAAGTTGAAACCATTCAAGGTTCTTGTGTAAGTTTCCAGATTTCACCCATCGCACATCCAGAGAAAACTTACACAATTAACAATGCCTTCGCTACAAGTCACTTAGCACTTTCAGACCACACCTACCCCGTATCATCTCTTCAACGGAGATACAAGCATCTTCAAGGTATCCCATTAACCTTCATTAACAAAGCAGTTCCACTACTGCTCATAGGCTCTGATCATACCCACCTTATTACGCCTATTGCACCAGTTAGACATGGACCATTTGGATCCCCTGCAGCAGTCAAAACCCACTTAGGATGGACACTCCAAGGTCCAATCACAGACTTCCAACCCCAGAGCAGTTCCACGCATGCCCAATGTTTATTCACATCTTCCAGTTCAGGTTCAGGAGAACCGCTCCAGCACATCCTTGTGTCCGCTGATGGCTCTGAATTCATTCAGCCACCTCATACTCTACCATCAGCAGTACCTATGTCGTCACCGGCAGTGCCACTATCACCAGTTCCACCACCTGTGGCTGCCATTCCGCCAGTGGTCAGGGCGCTGCCTGCTCCTGCATCACCTGGTCCTGCCTCTGCCAAGCCCCGTACATTGCCCCCAGCACCTGCAAAACTGCCCAACGGTCTGCAGGTCTGGGCCTGCCGCTGCATCCCATGCGGTTGGCATTTGGACCTGCTTTGCCGCCACCGCTGGCTACATGGTCGGCCCCCTGAACTGTCTGGCCTGCATTGTCGACCCCCTGAACCTATATTAGACCTGTAGCATGTCTGATTCCTCTGCCCCCGCTTTGTGAAAAGGAGCATCTCTGATCCTTTGAACATATTTCTCAGTAGAAATATGGGAGCGGCTGTTGTAAAGGCTCACCTTTCAACACATTCACTTCACCAGATGCACCTTGTTTCTTTTCCTCACCTTTGATTGGGTGTGGTGCTTGGCCTTAATTGCACTCACCTGTCACTTGTTATATAAGGACTGCACTCACCTACCCCTCACTCTTTCTTCACTCCCACATGGGGCGGCAGCTGAGGTGAGTTTCTCTTTGAGTCTCCTGAGTTCATGTATCATTTTGAGTTACTTAAATCATACTTTGTCCTTTTTAGAGAGAGCAGTCCATGTGTGTCTTTCTTTCCTTTATCCGTTATACAATAAAACAACAAAACCTGCAAAGATTAATGACTGCTTATTTTCATTCTAATCGGATGAGCCCATGATGACGACTACTGAAACCCTGAACCAACCTTCCTCCAAAACATTAACACATCCAACATAGCAGCTACCTTTGAGATCTAAAATGTCATTATCAGCAAATATTTTTTTTAGTGCATTTAAAACATCTTACACACACTTAAATATATATTAAAGCCATCTAACCTCTAGAGGAGAGTCTGATTCATCCAGGATACTCTTTTCACTCTGTATCCGCTGCATCGTTCCTGTAGCACTGGGGTCCATTATCAGCACGTTCTGACTACCAGCTCTGCCGAACTTACAGTCACTCTTTCTGGAGTCAGTCGTCCTGCACACCTCGTAATTGTACACATGTGGCAGAGTCCCTGTTCCCAAAGTGTCTGAGTAACGTGGTGGATAATATGGAATGACAGGCAGGTTGGAGTGATACAGGATGCGAGACTGTCTCCACCTGTAGATTTTGACTGATATGATAACCACTAAACACGTGATGAAGAGGAAGGAAACTACAGCCAGAGCCAAGACTAAGTAAAAAGTCATGTTGTCATTGTAGTCCTTGTCGTGGGTCAACTCAGTGAACTCCGACAGCACTTCAGGGAAGCTGTCCGCCACCGCCACGTTAACAACAACTGTAGCTGAACGAGAGGGCTGTCCGTTGTCCTCCACTATAACAGTCAGTCTTTGTTTGACAGCATCTTTATCAGTGACTTGGCGGATAGTTCTGATTTCTCCATTCTGTAAGCCCACTTCAAACAGCGCCCTGTCTGTGGCTTTCTGCAGTTTATAGGAGAGCCAGGCATTCTGTCCAGAGTCCACATCAACAGCCACCACTTTAGTCACCAGATAGCCCACATCTGCTGAACGAGGCACCATTTCAGCCACCAGAGAGCCACCAGTCTGGACTGGGTACAGAACCTGAGGGGGGTTGTCGTTCTGGTCCCGGATCATTATTTTCACAGTCACGTTGCTGCTGAGTGGAGGAGAGCCTCCATCCTGCGCTTTTACGCGGAAGTGGAAATATTTGATCTGCTCGTAGTCAAAAGAGCGCACTGCATGGATGACTCCACTATCTGCACTAACAGACACATACGAGGAGACTGGCACTCCGTTAACGGAGGAGTCCTCCAGTATGTAAGAAACACGGGCATTCTGGTTCCAGTCAGCGTCTGTGGCTTTGACTGTGAATATAGAGAGACCTGGTGTGTTGTTTTCTACAATGTAGGCCTCATACGAGCTCCTCTCAAAGACAGGTGCGTTATCATTAACGTCTGAGATCAGTAAGGTGAGAGTGACACTCTTGGAGAGGGAGGGTAGTCCCTCATCAGAGCAGGTCACAGTGATGTTATACGCAGACTTTGTCTCTCTATCTAAATCACTGTCTGTTATTAATGTAAAGAAATTATTTGATGTTGATATAATTTTAAAGTGATCATAGTCATCCAAAAAGCATCGGACTTTGCCATTTTCATTTGAATCTGGATCTTGGACGTTCATCATCGTCAGAACAGTGCCCGGTTTAACATCCTCAGCTACAGTGGAAGACGCTGACATAATATTAATTGCTGGTGGGTTATCGTTTGTGTCCAGCACCTCAATCAGAACTTTACACACATCAGCGTTACCGCCTTCATCTGACGCTTGCACATCTATTTCAAAATGGCGAAATTTTTCGTAATCTAGTTCTCCCACTAATGTAAACATCCCACTTTTTTCGTCTATATTGAATAACTCTAGTGCTCCCTTTGGAGCATTAGAAATTGAGTATCGCACCTGCCCATGTAGACCTTCATCGGCATCAGATGCGGTCACGGTCGTGAGAATAGTCCCTTTAGACGAATCCTCCTTTACATTTGTCTTATACTCTACTTGAGAACAAACAGGCGCATTGTCATTTGCATCCAGAACGGTCACAATAATTTCAATGGTTCCGGAAAGCTGCGGATTACCACCATCTAAAGCAGACAACACTAAAGACACACGGTCCTGCTTTTCTCGATCGAGAGCCTTCTTTAAAACCATTTCAACATTTCTACTGCTACCGATCCGATAAGGATTTAGAATGAATATGTCACTTTGACTAAGCGAATAGCCCTGAAGCCCGTTAGTGCCCACGTCATCATCAATAGCTTTTTCTAAAACAAATTTCGACCCAATTTGAGCCATCTCGCTTACATCAAATTTCATTTTGCTGTTTTTAAAAACTGGAGAATTGTCATTAACGTCAGTGATCTCAACAGTGATGCTATAAAATTGCATAGGATTCTCCAAAATTATTTGAAAATCAAGAGCGCAGGGCGTCGTCTGCCCACAGAGCGCTTCTCTGTCTATTCGCTCTTTTATTAGAAGGACTCCCTTTTCTTTATCGAGCTCGACGTGTTCTGTACCTTCTCCTGTATATATACGAGCTCTTCCTGATTTAAGTCGTTTCACATCTAAACCTAAATCTTGTGCTATGTTACCGACCAAAGATCCTTTCGCCATTTCCTCAGGAATTGAGTAGCTGACCTGGCCAAAAACCATGCAGAGAGAAAGAATCGAGAAAAATAACATTAATCCGACTTGCCGTGTCATTGTTCAGTCAGACAGTTTCCCTTCCAAACAAAGAAATGTGGAATCCGTTATCCAAAAAAACAAAAAACAAACAAAAAAAAAGATTTTAGACACAAACTTCAGCAAATAGAAACAATAAAAACTCCAATGAATGCTGAATAGATTCCTGGTGTCTCCGACTTTGATAAAATCTTCATCCAAACTGTGCCTTTCTGATATGTTCTCCTTCCTCTGTGACATAACGAGGTGGTGGGAAGGTACTGCTGTAATATGCACTAAAATCTCAGCACACTGGTCATCAGCGTCCCCGTGAGTCGGATGCACGGAACTACATAAACTATTATACACAGACATTCTTTTTTGGCTCATGTTTCATGCGATTGATTACTATATTTGGTTAGATATGTGAACACTAGAAAGAAATAACTTGGTCCATAAGACAGTGAAATGTCTTATTTGTGTTGCAGAAGAAAAATTTGGGTATTTTGATTTCCTGCTTTATATCCAGACAGAAACGAGAGCAAGCCAGCTATCGAAACAGATCAAAACAGGACGAGAGACAATAAAGCAAAACACCAACAAAGTGCGCTGAATTTTGCTTTCTGTGGTACTTACTGGCACAAAACGGAAAGACAACAAAAAAAGCATGTTTAACATTTAAAACTTAAATCCACATGAGCAATTATTAGTTTAAAACATTATTGTTTTCAAGTGTTCATTCTAAAGTCCATAGCAAAAATTATGTAAATATTAAGTAAATGGCTTATTATTGTGATTCACACAAAGTATCAACGGAAAAAAAGAATACACAAAAATCTTTAGACTGTTATAATGCAAAAAGTGCAACAAGGATTTGACTATAAAATGCAGGACTAAGTGCAGCAGGTGCATTGCAATACATTCCATGTACATCTACCCCATAACGAATTAAGCAGCACTTCAAATGGGACGATTAACTTTTAATTAAAGGAGCTGTCAACGACTTATGTTTCTGAAAACATCTGATGAATTACCATGACGCAATTGAATCCATTAAAATACACAGACACAGGTTATGGTCAGTATTTCAGGACCTCACCTCTAGAGGAGAGTCTGGTTCATCCAGGATGCTCTTTTCACTCTGTATCCGCTGCATCGTTCCTGTAGAACTGGGGTCCATTATCAGCACGTTCTGACTACCAGCTCTGCCGAACTTACAGTCACTCTTTCTGGAGTCAGTCGTCCTGCACACCTCGTAATTGTACACATGTGGAAGAGTCCCTGTCCCCAAAGTGTCTGAGTAACGTGGTGGATAATATGGAATGACAGGCAGGTTGGAGTGATACAGGATGCGAGACTGTCTCCACCTGTAGATTTTGACTGATATAATAACCACTAAACACGTGATGAAGAGGAAGGAAACTACAGCCAGAGCCAAGACTAAGTAAAAAGTCAGGTTGTCATTGTACTCCTTGTCGTGGGTCAACTCAGTGAACTCCGACAGCACCTCAGGGAAGCTGTCCGCCACTGCCACGTTAACAATGACTGTAGCTGAACGAGAGGGCTGCCCGTTGTCCTCCACTATAACAGTCAGTCTTTGCTTGACAGCATCTTTATCAGTGACTTGGCGGATAGTTCTGATTTCTCCATTCTGTAAGCCCACTTCAAACAGCGCCCTGTCTGTGGCTTTCAGCAGTTTATAGGAGAGCCAAGCATTCTGTCCAGAGTCCACATCAACAGCCACCACTTTAGTCACCAGATAGCCCACATCTGCTGAACGAGGCACCATTTCAGCCACCAGAGAGCCACCAGACTGGACTGGGTACAGAACCTGAGGATGGTTGTCGTTCTGGTCCTGGATAAATATTATTACAGACGCATTGCTGCTGAGTGGAGGAGAGCCTCCATCCTGCGCTTTGACTTTGAATTTAAGTTGTTTAATTTGTTCATAATCAAACGAGCGTACTGCGTGTATCACTCCAGTTTCAGAATTTATTGACACAAAAGAAGAAACTGAGCTTCCACTGACTTCAGCATCGTCTATAAAATATGAGATTCTCGCGTTTTGATTCCAATCATGATCTCGTGCGCTGACTGTGAATATCGACCCCCCCGGGACGTTATTTTCAACGACATAGGCCGAATATTTAGGTTTGGTAAAGAGCGGCGCATTATCATTCACATCAGAAATTTTTAGATGCAAATTTGTTTGTGTAGAAAGGGGTGGTGACCCTGAATCGGTTGCAGTTATTGTTATATTGTATTCAGGTTTTGTTTCTCGATCAAAAGCTACATCTGAGAGCAAATTGTAATAATCGGTCAAAGAAGACTGGATTTTAAATGGGAGATTAGAATCTATTGAGCACGTTATATGACCATTTCTTTCTGAGTCTGCATCTTTAACATTAAAAACAGCTATAGTTGTACCCGGAGAAACATCCTCTGAAATGATGCTCGAAAATGACATTATACTTATAAGAGGCGCATTATCATTTATGTCCAGGACCTCAACGACAACTTTGGTTGCATCACTCAGTCCTCCCTGGTCTTTGGCGATCACTCTTATTTCATACTTCTTGTCTTTTTCAAAATCAATGTTATCAACAACAGTAATTTTTCCGGAGGAACTATCAATTTCAAATTTTTCCGCGGATTTCCCCTTTACGTTAGAAAACGTGTAGGAAACCAAGCCATTTGAACCACTGTCTGCATCTGAAGCATTCACTGTAGTTATATAGGTGCCTATTGGCGCATTTTCTGCTACAGTAGCTTTATATAGCGATTGATTAAAAACAGGAGGATTATCGTTGGCATCAAGAACAGTGATCTCTATGTTCACTGTACCAGATCGCCGTGGAGTTCCTCCGTCTACTGCAATCAGCTTTAAGGAGAGGTGTGGGTTCAACTCTCTGTCTAAAGGCTTCTGTAAAATCATTACAGCGAATCTAACTCCGTCGGCGTTAGAGAGCTGCTTTAAGACAAAATTATTATCAGGGGACAAAACATAATTTTGCAAGCTGTGAATTCCTGAATCGGGGTCATATGCGCTTTCTAAATCAAAATGAGAACCCACTGTAGCAGATTCACTAATTTCTAGTTTAATCACGTTACTTTTGAACGTCGGTGCATGGTCGTTTATGTCTAATATTTCTACTGTCACTCTGTGCAGTTCAATGGGATTTTCTAAAATAATTTCAAAGCTTAAACTGCATGGCATTACGTCTCCGCAAAGCTCTTCTCGGTCAATTCTCTCCTTCACGACTAGAATCCCTTTGTCTGCCTTCAGCTCTGTGTACTGACTGGTTTCTCCGCTCACGATCCGGGCCCGGCCAGAACGGAGCCTTCTCAGATCTAAACCGAGGTCTTGTGCTACATTACCGATAAGAGAACCTTCCTTCATCTCCTCTGGTACTGAATAACGGATTTGGCCTCTGATGGTGGAAATCATGAAGACAAAGATGAAGAGAAGCCATGTCGTTGTTTCACACATCAGCCGTTTTCGGAATGGCTGCTGCTGTATCCCCATGTTGCTACTAAAATAAATCCAAAACACGACTTGAGATCAGTCGGTCACACATAAAAAAAACAAATTGGATCCCAGTTCAATGGCGATGCGCCTTTAACTATTAAAACGGTTGGATTGCTATTAAACAGGCAGATTCACTGCGACTCTCTCCAACGTCTCTCTGAATAAAGATTGGTTTTAGACCTCTCCTCTTTCTCTCGGCTGTCTGTAACAACACCACAGTTTTTTCCTGATCAACAGCGTCCCTTAGAGTCCAAACCGAGTAGAGAAGCGAATACACTGCAAATGCATAAAAAACAACTATGCAACATACTGCGGGAACAGAACAACTCAACTATAGATTAGTTGCAAATAATATTAACAGAAGAAATATATAGCACCAGATGTAGCATAAAGACACATACTGTATATCAAATGAGACCAAAGGCGATATATAACAACTTTAGAAGAATAAGCTTTAATTAGCTCTAAACTTCTAAACACTTTTAAGAGATAGTGAAATAAATACAAAGGTTAAAGAAGAGCAGTGATTACAAGGAAAAGCCGGTATATTTAGTAGACAAACCTCAAAAGAACAAAAACAGGAGGAAACTGTAAATATTTATGAATAATATTTAGTACATTTAAAATGTGGAAAAACATCGGCATAATTTGTGTATCCCACTTCGCTTGGCAGTGTAATAATTATAATCAAAATACTGATAATATGTTAATAGAAAATATAACATCACGATATTGTTTGAGAATATAGATAGGATAATCATTTTTAAAGTTCTTCACGTGAATGCAAAAACTATGTCAACTGAGGGAAAGTAAGTGTACTGTCCATGGTGCTGAAAACGAAAACTTACTGTGCCACTAAGCTAAAGCGCTGAAAAGGAAAAACTAACCTCTAGAGGAGAGTCTGGTTCATCCAGGATGCTCTTTTCACTCTGTATCCGCCGCATCGTTCCTGTAGAACTGGGGTCCATTATCAGCACGTTCTGACTACCAGCTCTGTCGAACTTACAGTCACTTTTTCTGGAGTCAGTCGTCCTGCACACCTCGTAATTGTACATATGTGGAAGAGTCCCTGTCCCCAAAGTGTCTGAGTAACGTGGTGGATAATATGGAATGACAGGCAGGTTGGAGTGATACAGGATGCGAGACTGTCTCCACCTGTAGATTTTGACTGATATAATAACCACTAAACACGTGATGAAGAGGAAGGAAACTACAGCCAGAGCCAAGACTAAGTAAAAAGTCAGGTTGTCATTGTACTCCTTGTCGTGGGTCAACTCAGTGAACTCCGACAGCACTTCAGGGAAGCTGTCCGCCACCGCCACGTTAACAATGACTGTAGCTGAACGAGAAGGCTGTCCGTTGTCCTCCACTATAACAGTCAGTCTTTGCTTGACAGCATCTTTATCAGTGACTTGGCGGATAGTTCTGATTTCTCCATTCTGTAAGCCCACTTCAAACAGCGCCCTGTCTGTGGCTTTCTGCAGTTTATATGAGAGCCAGGCATTCTGTCCAGAGTCCACATCAACAGCCACCACTTTCGTCACCAGATAGCCCACATCTGCTGAACGAGGCACCATTTCAGCCACCAGAGAGCCACCAGTCTGGACTGGGTACAGAACCTGAGGAGGGTTGTCGTTCTGGTCCTGGATAATTATTTTTACACTCGCATTGCTGCTGAGTGGAGGAGAGCCTCCATCCTGTGCTCTGACCAAAAACGTAAGCTCTTTAAGTTGTTCATAATCAAATGAGCGAACTGCGTGAATAGTTCCAGTTTCGGCATTAATGGACACATAAGAAGAGGTTGGATTGCCACTGATCTGGGTTTCTTCGAGAAAATATGATATTCTAGCGTTTTGATTCCAGTCACTGTCTCGTGCGCTGACCGAAAATATGGACATTCCCGGGGAATTGTTTTCTGTAATGTAAGCAAGGTAGCTGTTTTTATCAAATAATGGCGCATTGTCATTAACATCAGAAATTCTCAGTCGTAAAACTGTTGTGCTTGACAAGGATGGCGTTCCTGAGTCACTCGCCCTTACAGTTATGTTATACTCAGGTTCAAGTTCCCTGTCAAAAGCTGACACTGTTATTAATGCATAGTAATTAGTTATTGTGGATTTCACTTTAAACGGGAGAGCGCTGTCTGTTGCGCAGCTAATTTGACCATTTTGTTCTGAGTCTGCATCTATTACGTTTATTATTGCGACTGTGGTGCCAGAGGGAGAATCTTCCGGCACAGGACTGGAGAATGACATCACATTTATTACTGGTGCGTTATCATTGACGTCTATAATCTCAATTAGAACTTTGCTCGAATCTGTTAGACCTCCTTGGTCCGTAGCTTCAATCATAATTTCGTGTTTCTTTTCTTTTTCATAATCTAGGTGCCCTGCGAGTGTTATAGTTCCCATAGCTTCATCTAAATGAAATATGTCAGCCAGCTGTTCTTTCATGTTTGAAAATCTATATGTAACAAGACCGTTTGACCCGATGTCTGCATCGCTTGCATTCACTGTCGTGATGTAGGTACCTCTTAATGAATTTTCCAAAACGGCAGCCCTGTAGAGAGACTGGTTGAACACTGGAGGGTTATCATTAGCATCCAGCACTGTAATATCTATATTTACAGTACCAGATCTATGCGGAGTTCCACCGTCTATAGCGATGAGCTTCAGTGATATTTTTGGCTCACTTTCTCTATCTAACGGTTTTTGTAACACCATCTCAGCATATTTTCTACCATCTGGACTTGAGTGTTGTTTCAGATCAAACATGTCATTTGTGTTTAATATGTATTTTTGTAGACCATTACTGCCCACATCTGCGTCCTCGGCGCTGGCCAATAAAAATCGCGATCCCAGTGTCGCAGACTCGCTAATTTCAAATTTCATTTCTTCCTTCCTAAATGTCGGAGAGTTGTCGTTTATGTCAGTTATCTCTACTGTTACTCGGTGCAGATCCATGGGATTTTCTAAAATAACCTCAAAGCTGAAGCTACATGGTGTTACGTCTCCACAAAGCTGCTCTCGGTCTATCCTCTCGTTCACGACTAAAATGCCTTTGTCTGTTTTCAGCTCCGTGAACTGGATGCTTTGTCTGGTCACAATACGGGCACGGCCAGAACGAAGCCTTTGCACATCCAGACCGAGATCTTGAGCTACATTTCCAATAAGAGAGCCCCTTTTCAGCTCCTCTGGGATTGTATACCTGATTTGTCCAAACACGATGTGACTGAGACAGCCCAGAAACAGCAGAAAGGGCCATACTGACCTGAAATTCAAACGCCATTTTACACACGACCGAGGCGAGTTTTTAAACGCCATTGCACACACAAAAAACGAAAATTGCACAAAATCCTTTTGTAAACGATCCACAAAGAACAAAGGCTGTTATATCCAGTATCCTTTGATTTTTAAGTCCTTGCTCTTAACGGATTTGTGACTGCAGCTCTGAATGCGAAGCCCACCGTTTATTTTCGATCCTCAGCAAACGGGAAAAAGGAAGCCTCTGCCTCCACCAAATCAGCGCTGAATACTAGTTTCTCTGACCAACAGCGTCCCTTACTGTCCAAATACACGAATATCACGAACACGAAAAGGAAAAAAGTGCTTTCAAAGCACTTTGCTGATTAAAAAATGTAAAGCAGAAATCACACATCTGTCTTTTAACTACAATGCAATAAAGTCTTATGCAGAAATACCAGTGAGACAGTTGTTTTAAAATATAACAATAACTACTTAAATTAAAACAATAGATCTTGCTCCCCTTTTCAAAGTGAATTAAGCAGCACGTTAAAAGGGGAGTGTGAACCTTCAAGTAGTTGAGCTGTCCAAGAGTTGTGGTTCTGAAAACGCACCATGGGTTACCAGAAATGTGAGCGATGAAATGTGGTATAACGTAGAATAAACCTCTAAAGAATGTAGGCATAAACTTAATTATGTCAAAGTCCTCACCTCTAGAGGAGAGTCTGGTTCATCCAGGATGCTCTTTTCACTCTGTATCCGCTGCATCGTTCCTGTAGAACTGGGGTCCATTATTAGCACGTTCTGACTACCAGCTCTGCCGAACTTATAGTCACTCTTTCTGGAGTCAGTCGTCCTGCACACCTCGTAATTGTACACATGTGGCAGAGTCCCTGTGCCCAAAGTGTCTGAGTAACGTGGTGGATAATATGGAATGACAGGCAGGTTGGAGTGATACAGGATGCGAGACTGTCTCCACCTGTAGATTTTGACTGATATAATAACCACTAAACACGTGATGAAAAGGAAGGAAACTACAGCCAGAGCCAAGACTAAGTAAAAAGTCAGGTTGTTATTGTACTCCTTGTCGTGTGTCAAATCAGTGAACTCGGATAGCACTTCAGGGAAGCTGTCCGCCACCGCCACGTTAACAATGACTGTCGCAGAACGAGAGGGCTGCCCGTTGTCCTCCACTATAACAGTCAGTCTTTGTTTGACAGCATCTTTATCAGTGACTTGGCGGATAGTTCTGATTTCTCCATTCTGTAAGCCCACTTCAAACAGCGCCCTGTCTGTGGCTTTCTGCAGTTTATAGGAGAGCCAGGCATTCTGTCCAGAGTCCACATCAACAGCCACCACTTTCGTCACCAGATAGCCCACATCTGCTGAACGAGGCACCATTTCAGCCACCAGAGAGCCACCAGTCTGGACTGGGTACAGAACCTGAGGAGGGTTGTCGTTCTGGTCTTCAATATTTATTCTAACTGTGGTATTGCTGCTTAAAGGAGGGGAACCACCATCCTGTCCTTTTACATAAATGTGTATAGTTTTAATTTGTTCATAGTCAAATGATCGTAGTGCCTGTATAACTCCGCTTTCTGCGTTTACTGATATGTACGTAGATATAGGACTACCATTTAACTCGGTATCAATAAGCAGGTAAGACACGCGTGCGTTCTGTCCTGAGTCGGAATCGCGTGCTTTAACGGAAAACACAGACAATCCCGGTGAGTTATTCTCCATAACAGACGCTTCATAATAACTCTGTTCAAATATCGGGGCATTATCATTTACGTCTGCTATTCTAAGTGTTATTGTCTTGTTTGTTGAGAGGGGTGGGCTCCCTTCATCCACTGCCGAGAAAGTTATATTATAAACAGGATTACGCTCCCTGTCGAGCACACCGTTTGTGACCAGAGTATAATAATTTTTTAGAGATGAATGAATTGCGAACGGAATATTGCTGTTTACTGAGCAGTCTACTTTTCCATTTTTGCCTGAATCCAGATCTTTGACGTTTATGATAGCCACGGTAGTCCCACTAGGTGAATCCTCAGCAATAGCATTAGAAAACGAGGTTAATGTTATTAAAGGAGGATTGTCATTGACGTCTATAACCTCAATTATCACATTTGTTGATGTGCTCTGTCCACCTTGATCTTTTGCCTGTACCCCAATCTCATATAATTTATTCTCTTCATAATCAATTATACCAGTTACTGTTAAATCGCCGGTATTTTCGTCCAGATGAAATAGTTCGGCAACATTACCGGACATTCGATTAAAATGATAAGTAACATGGCCATTTATCCCTTCATCTGCATCTGTTGCGCTAAATCTCACTACTAACGTTCCTCTTGGGACATTTTCTTTAACAGAAGCCTTGAAAATTGATTGCATGAATACGGGAGCATTGTCGTTTGTATCTCGCACAGTTACGTGTATTTTTAAGGTGCCTGAACGCTGTGGTTCACCTCCGTCCACAGCAGTTAGCGTGAGGAGCAGCTTTCCTTCTTTCTCTCTATCTAAAGGTTCAGAAAGATAAAGCTGTGCATATTTATGACCATTTGGGCTAGATGAGACCTTTATATTAAAATGTGTTTTGGGGTGTATTGTATAGCCGTGTAGAGCGTTAATGCCAACATCGGGGTCTGTTGCACTCACTTGCAATATTTCGGTTCCTGGAAGAGCTGATTCCAGGATTTCTAAATGCATTTCCTTCTCCTGAAACGCAGGGGCATTATCATTAACATCCAGTACTTCCACAACAACGCTATGCAGTTGAATTGGATTTGTCATAATCATTTCCAAATTCAAGCTGCAGGGCGATGTCTGTCCACAAAGCTGCTCTCTATCTATTCTCTCTCCCACGACCAGATTTCCTTTGTCTACATCCAGCCTAATATACTCACTGCTGTCACTGATAACAATTCGGGCACCGCCTGATTTCAGTCTTTTAGCGTCGATACCTAAATCTTCAGCCACATTTCCCACAAACGAGCCCTTCCTCATTTCCTCTGGAACAGAGTAGCGGATCTGGCAAATTGTCGCGTCGATGAGAACAACAAGGATGAAGGCCCGTACTTGCCATTTAACCGTGCGAGCGATCCTGAAAGAATGCATATTTCTCAATCAATTAATCCAAGTCCACGTAGAAGAATGTCGACAAAAGGCTTTTAAACTGTCGATATTGTCCTTCTCTCTATGCAGTTGTAATCCACAGTTTGAGACCGAATGTATCCGCCTAAAATCAGTGTCGAAAATAAGCGACTGTCTTGCTCTTCTACTGTATATTTAGAAGAGTACAGAGGGTGTAAAGCTTTAAATGTGCTGTAAAGACCAACAGCGGCCCTTAGAGTCCAAAGTAAAAATAACAAGTGATGTGAACAAGGAAGGAGAAATAAACTTGTATGGAAGTAACAATTCAGGAGTGAATTAACACTAAAATGAAAACAACAGATGATGCTTAAATACTTCATGTGAGAAACAGGAAAAGAGTAGTGCAGCACTCTTCTGTAAAAGAAATAAACTCAAACATATACTCTGATTACAGTAGACATCTTGAGAGTGGTTTGTAGCCGCAAGCAAAATGAATAAAACTTAAAGAAACAACGTACATACTTTAAGGAAATCAACTTTTAAAGTGACTTATGTAACTGAAGTCAAACTGATTAGAAAACAAACTAAAGAGTATTAAACTATTCCAATATAATTGACTGAACGTTAATAAAATCAATGGATCAATAAACTGACCTCTAGAGGAGAGTCTGGTTCATCCAGGATGCTCTTTTCACTCTGTATCCGCTGCATCGTTCCTGTAGAACTGGGGTCTATTATCAGCACGTTCTGACTACCAGTTCTGTCGAACTTACAGTCACTCTTTCTGGAGTCAGTCGTCCTGCACACCTCGTAATTGTACACATGTGGCAGAGTCCCTGTTCCCAAAGTGTCTGAGTAACGTGGTGGATAATATGGAATGACAGGCAGGTTGGAGTGATACAGGATGCGAGACTGTCTCCACCTGTAGATTTTGACTGATATAATAACCACTAAACACGTGATGAAGAGGAAGGAAACTACAGCCAGAGCCAGGACCAAGTAAAAAGTCAGGTTGTCATTGTACTCCTTGTCGTGGGTCAACTCAGTGAACTCCGACAGAACTTCAGGGAAGCTGTCCGCCACCGCCACGTTAACAATGACTGTAGCTGAACGAGAAGGCTGTCCGTTGTCCTCCACTATAACAGTCAGTCTTTGTTTGACAGCATCTTTATCAGTGACTTGGCGGATAGTTCTGATTTCTCCATTCTGTAAGCCCACTTCAAACAGCGCCCTGTCTGTGGCTTTCTGCAGTTTATAGGAGAGCCAGGCATTCTGTCCAGAGTCCACATCAACAGCCACCACTTTAGTCACCAGATAGCCCACTTCTGCTGAACGAGGAACCATTTCAGCCACCAGAGAGCCACCAGTCTGGACTGGGTACAAAACCTGAGGGGGGTTGTCGTTCTGGTCCTGAACTATTATTTTAACTGTCGCCACTGAACTCAGAGGAGGGGATCCAGCATCACGTGCAGTTACATTAAATTCAAACCACTTGATCTGCTCGTAATCAAACGATCTCACTGCATGAATAACACCGGTATCTGAATTTACTGAAACCAGCGAAGACACAGCCAGCCCATTAATGTCCCTCTCCTGCAAAAAGTAAGAAACTCTGGCATTTTGGCCCCAGTCTGCATCATTAGCACTCACGGTAAACACAGAAAGTCCAGGAGAGTTGTTCTCTGCGACAGTTTTAGCGTATTCTGAATGATCAAATTTGGGTGGACTGTCATTGACATCAGATACTTTTACGTTGATGTTCTTACTGCTTGACAGAGGCGGGGAACCCTGATCAGACACAGTTATGGTGAGATTATACTCAGGGATACTCTCTCTGTCTAAATAGTCTTCAGTTACTATGGTGTAGTATCCCGTTAGTGAAGACTCGATTTTAAAAGGTACGTCAGAGTTAATGGAGCACTTGACAGCACCGTTACCATCAAAATCTTCGTCATCCACGTTAAGAACAGCTATCGTTGTACCTGGAGGAGAATCCTCAGATATCGAGTTCGAAAATGACATGAGCTGTATTGTAGGGACGTTGTCATTTTCGTCAGTTATTTGAATGATAACTTTACATGTATCAGAATAACCTCCATGGTCACTAGCCTGCACGTTCAGTTGATAAGTCTTAGATTTTTCAAAGTCGAGTTTACCTGCGACTTTAATCTCTCCAGTTTGAACATTTACTTCAAAAAGCTGTTTCGTCTCTTTTGCAACGGGAGGGATAGAGTATGTTACCTCTCCGTAGTGGCCCTTATCCGGGTCATTTGCACTCACAGTGGTTATCACGGTTCCTTCGGGAGAATTCTCTTTGATATCTGCTTTATAAACAGCCTGGCTGCACACTGGCGAATTATCATTAGCATCCAGCACAGTAATATGTATATGCACTGTCCCTGATCTCCGTGGCTCCCCGCCATCTGAAGCAATCAGCACAAGACTGTGAGTCTCCTCTTTCTCTCGGTCTAACGGGTTTTGTAAAACCATTTCAACAAACCTGCCTCCATCCGGCTGGTTTTGCACTTCTAGCTTAAAATGATCAGAGGGTTTAAGTGTGTATTTTTGAATGTCATTAACGCCAACATCGGAGTCATCTGCACTCAGCAGAGAAAACCGAGTCCCTAATGCAGCGTTTTCAACAATATTTAAGTTGATTTCGTCTTTTGGGAACAACGGACTGTTATCATTTATATCTGTCACCTCCACTGTCACACGATAAAGCTGGATAGGATTTTCTAAAATCACCTCGAAGCTGAAGCTACAGGGCGTCGTCTTTCCACACAGTTCCTCCCGGTCGATTCTCTCTTTAATAACAAGGATGCCTTTGTCTTTGTTTAAATCCACATACTGTCGGCCTCCTTTTGTAATAATACGAGCTTTACCTGAAATCAGCCTCGCAACATCCAAGCCTAAATCTCTCGCAATGTTTCCGACAAACGATCCTTCGGCCTGCTCCTCCGGGATGGAATACCGAGCCTGACCAGCCACTGCGCTCAGCTCGATGAGACAAAGAATCAACACCAGCGCTTGCCGTCGGCCTCTGTCAGCCATTATCCACATGGAGGCCATCATAAATTCAACAGTGCAGACACAGCGATTGTTTTTTAACTTCGAAGTGATGTTATTAATCTAAAAACTCCACACATTTATGTATTTTCAGCAAGGAGACTCCCGGAGAGATTCTACACTTGAATCCGTGACGGAACAGAGAAGCGTCTCGCTTAGTATTATAACACTGAGTGAATATAAAAGGGAGGACCGCTGTATTAAGGGTCTGACACAAACTCAGTGACGCATCAACAGCGGCACTCAGAGTTCATTCACGGAAATGTATCTTGTGGAAGCTTAAATATTTTTATATTCCAGAAATATTTGATTGACAAAGTGAAGAATAATTAGAGAAGAGCTCGAAAGAAAAAGGAGCATTAGATTCTCAAACAATCTTCAGGGCCTGTTCAAACAAAGTGTCTTCAGTATGAGATGACAATGTTACCAAATCTAACTTAACTTTAATTTTCTTACCATCTCAATTCATTATTTAAAATAAAAAAATAAAAACTACAACACTGAATATTAGCACTTCAATAAATGACATAAAACAGCATGAACGTTACATGGACAAAAAAGTAGAACAGTCTAAATGATTACGGATAGTCTGGAAGTGAGGTTAAATGGTAAAAATGGTAAATGGCCTGTATTTATATAGCGTTTTTAATAGTCCCTAAGGACCCCAAAGCGCTTTACATATCCAGTCATCCACCCATTCACACACTGGTGATGGCAAGCTACGTTGTAGCCAAAGCCACCCTGGGGCGCACTGACAGAGGCGAGGCTGACGGACACTGGCGCCACCAGGCCCTCTGACCACCACCAGGAGGCTACGGGTCTTGCCCAAGGACACAACGACCGAGACTGTCCGAGCCGGGGCTGGAACCGGCAACCTTCCGATTACAAGGCGAACTCCTAACGCTTGAGCCACGACCGCCCCAAGCTCTCTTTTAACAACTTTTCTATTTAAAGGGTCTATTTTGATTCCTTTCTTACTGCTACAAAAACACAGAAATATATGGCTTATTGATTACATTAGAGAAACTTCATTGAAAAAAGTTGCAAAATCATCAACAAACCCTTTAATGGTTGAAGTATTTGTTAAATAATATCATAATATGGATGAATATGACTGCCAAAAAGAACAAAGGGTAAATAAAGTGCCATTTTAACAAAGTATTTATTTTATTTCCGTTGATAATAATAAGCGAGGTTAAATGAAAGAAAATATTATAATAACTGGGCCATTTAAACAGGCGTCGAAATAAAATGGGTCAGTTGACCGTTTCAGCACCACAGACAGCGACACTAACGCGCATCTGGAAGATTCAACCTTAACGCCACACATTCTCTCTCTCTCTCTCTCTCTCTCTCTCTCTCTCTCTCTCTCTCTCTCTCTAACACACACACACACACACACACACACACACACACACACACACACACACACACACACACAAGGGAAAAAAAGGATCTTAATAGTTTAAAAAAATGACTCACCAAAGTAGACATTTGAGAACAGTTGCCTGACAGTTGCTTGTTTATTTGGGGTACATCGTCTCCAGCTCCATCCACACTCACTAAACTTTGACTCATCGGTTGCATATATTTCATGTCACTTTTTCTGGAGTCAGTCGTCCTGCACACCTCGTAGTTGTACACATGGGGAAGAGTCCTTGTCCCCAAAGTGTCTGAGTAACGTGGTGGATAATATGGAATGACAGGCAGGTTGGAGTGATACAGGATGCGAGACTGTCTCCACCTGTAGATTTTGACTGATATAATAACCACTAAACACGTGATGAAGAGGAAGGAAACTACAGCCAGAGCCAAGACTAAGTAAAAAGTCAGGTTGTCATTGTACTCCTTGTCGTGGGTCAAATCAGTGAACTCCGACAGCACTTCAGGGAAGCTGTCCGCCACCGCCACGTTAACAATGACTGTAGCTGAACGAGAGGGCTGCCCGTTGTCCTCCACTATAACAGTCAGTCTTTGTTTGACGGCATCTTTATCAGTGACTTGGCGGATAGTTCTGATTTCTCCATTCTGTAAGCCCACTTCAAACAGCGCCCTGTCTGTGGCTTTCTGCAGTTTATAGGAGAGCCAGGCATTCTGTCCAGAGTCCACATCAACAGCCACCACTTTAGTCACCAGATAGCCCACTTCTGCTGAACGAGGAACCATTTCAGCCACCAGAGAGCCACCAGTCTGGACTGGGTACAGAACCTGAGGGGGGTTGTCGTTCTGGTCCTGAACTATTATTTTAACTGTCGCCACTGAACTCAGAGGAGGGGATCCAGCATCACGTGCAGTTACATTAAATTCAAACCACTTGATCTGCTCGTAATCAAACGATCTCACTGCATGAATAACACCGGTATCTGAATTTACTGAAACCAGCGAAGACACAGCCAGCCCATTAATGTCCCTCTCCTGCAAAAAGTAAGAAACTCTGGCATTTTGGCCCCAGTCTGCATCATTAGCACTCACGGTAAACACAGAAAGTCCAGGAGAGTTGTTCTCTGCGACAGTTTTAGCGTATTCTGAATGATCAAATTTGGGTGGACTGTCATTGACATCAGATACTTTTACGTTGATGTTCTTACTGCTTGACAGAGGCGGGGAACCCTGATCAGACACAGTTATGGTGAGATTATACTCAGGGATACTCTCTCTGTCTAAAAAGTCTTCAGTTACTATGGTGTAGTATCCTGTTAATGAAGACTCGATTTTAAAAGGTACATCAGAGTTAATTGAGCACTTGACAGCACCGTTACCATCAGAGTCTTCGTCATCCACGTTAAGAACAGCTATCGTTGTACCTGGAGGAGAATCCTCAGATATCGAGTTCGAAAATGACATGAGTTGTATTGTAGGGACGTTGTCATTTTCGTCAGTTATTTGAATGAAAAATTTACATGTATCTGAAAAACCTCCGTGGTCACTAGCCTGCACGTTCAGTTGATAAGTCTTAGATTTTTCAAAGTCGAGTTTACCTGCGACTTTAATCTCTCCAGTTTGAACATTTACTTCAAAAAGTTGTTTCGTTTCTTTGGCGACATGAGCTATAGAATATGTTACCTGTCCGTTTACCCCTTTATCCGGGTCATTTGCACTCACAGTGGTTATCACTGTTCCTTCGGGAGAATTCTCTTTGACTTCTGCTTTATAAACAGCCTGGCTGCACACTGGCGAATTATCATTAGCATCCAGCACAGTAATATGTATACGCACTGTCCCTGATCTCCGTGGCTCCCCGCCATCTGAAGCAATCAGCACAAGACTGTGAGTTTCCTCTTTCTCTCGGTCTAACGGGTTTTGTAAAACCATTTCAACAAACCTGCCTCCACCCGGCTGGTTTTGCACTTCTAGTTTAAAATGATCAGAGGGTTTAAGTGTGTATTTTTGAATATCATTGTTAGCAACATCAGCGTCATCTGCATTCTCGAGAGAGAAGCGAGTGCCTAATGCAGCATTTTCAGCAATTTTCAAGATAATTTCGTCTTTTGGGAACAACGGACTGTTATCATTTATATCTGTCACCTCCACTGTCACACGATAAAGCTGGATAGGATTTTCTAAAATCACCTCGAAGCTGAAGCTACAGGGCGTCGTCTTTCCACACAGTTCCTCCCGGTCGATTCTCTCTTTAATAACAAGGATGCCTTTGTCTTTGTTTAAATCCACATACTGTCGGCCTCCTTTTGTAATAATACGAGCTTTACCTGAAATCAGCCTCGCAACATCCAAGTCTAAATCTCTCGCAATGTTTCCGACAAACGATCCTTCGGCCTGCTCCTCCGGGATGGAATACCGAGCCTGACCAGCCACTGCGCTCAGCTCGACGAGACAAAGAATCAACACCAGCGCTTGCCGTCGGCCTCTGTCAGCCATTATCCACATAGAGCACATCATAAATCCAGTGGTACAGACACAGTAATTGTTTTTAACTTCGAAGTGATGTTAGTAATCCAAAAATTCAACACGTTTATATATTTTCAGCAAGTAGACTTCAGGAGAGATTCTACACTTGAATCCGTGACGGAACAGAGAAGCTTCGCTCCAAGTATTATAACACTGAGTGAATACAAAGGGGAGGGCCGCTGTATTAAGGGTCTGAACAAATACTCAGTGACGTATCAACAGCGGCACTCAGAGCCCACACAAGGTAATGTAAGTGAAATGCAGAATTACTGAAAAAGGTTAGATCTAAACGCATTTTTTGTTACTAAATAAAATTAATGAGCTAAATATAGAGGCAAAGAAAACAATATATTGCGCATACAATAACCAGAGCATGTTTACATAAATACCTTAAGTATATGATGACAGTGATATAACATTTCATTCAAATTCCATGGAAACTTAATTTCGTTATAACCACCGTAGATATAACAAAAATACTGAAGATTATCTGTACAATCAATTAATAAAAAGTGTGCGAACACGAAAAAAGAGGAGAAAGTAGTTATTTCTATAAAGTTAGAGATGCTTTTGGGGGGAAGGGGAAAGAAGAAGGAAAAGCAAATTTCCTATATATTCCATTGATTTATCAGAATTCCCGATTATTTTCATTTCTTTTTCTTTTGCAATCGCCTATGTTGTTCGCTTTCATATTGTAATACAAATGACCTCGTGCTAAAGAGATCCGTATGTTATTAGGTTAATCAGAAACACAATTTGAGAAAGTAAGAATGGCTAATGATTTATGAACCGTTTCACAATTTGATTATAATAAAAATGGATTGCATTTATATAGCGCTTTTCGAGACCCCAAAGCGCTTTACAATTCCACTACTCATTCTCTCACTGGTGGAGGCAGCTACAGTTGTAGCCACAGCTGCCCTGGGGCACACTGACAGAAGCGAGACTGCCATCGGCCCCTCTGGCCATCACCAGTAGGCGAAGTGTCTTGCCCAAGGACACAAGACCGAAACTGTCCGAGCCGGGGCTCGAACCAGCAACCTTCCGATTACAAGACGAACTGCCAACTCTTGAGCCACGATCGCCCCATAATTGATTATGATATTAATGAATACCCCAATCAAATATATTATAAAAAACTGTGGACAATGTCAGCTTCATTAAAAAAAATTATCTGGCCTGTGTTAGCATAATGCCAGTTTTGTTTTTTTATGAATACACAGAGAGTGGAGCTTTGAAGTGTCAGAAATTGTACTACGGACATGGAAGTAAAATGACTTTAAACTTAGACCAGCCTCACGTAACATGCATTACTAAATAAAAATTAAATAGTGGTACAAATAAAAACAATATCCCAACATATGTCACACAGTGGAAATTTGTGTTTGTTTTATCGTTTGTGTTGTCTTGCTCTTAGTGTGTATGAGTGCGTACAGTACTGATTTTATTTGCATGGTTTTACCCTGATATTTATGTTGCATGTTTTAATCCACTGTGGACTGGGCGGACAATAGCAGGCACCTTTTGAGGTGTTGGCGTACACTGAGGTGGCCAATTAGCCACCAAACGGACTTGTTAGAGGAGAGGGTGGGCGCAGAGACAGGAGAAAGGAACGCGTGAAAGCCAGCGTGGTAAAAGACGGACCTGCTGCCTGATCGTGGGTTGCGACGGGTCATTCGGAGACGGACCGGCCAGCGTAACGCGGCGACCAAATCCCAACAGCAACAAGGGCGACAGTGGGAGACAACGCGTCCAATCGACAGCATATGTGAGTATCGCTTTCCCCACTGTTGTGCGCCGGGTGCAGCGCTGTCAGAGGAGGGTCGCAGCGGCCGTGCCGACAACGTTGCTGGCCAGTGTCTGCCTGCTTCATGGTGTTGCTACGAGGGCGGCCACGTTTGCAGTAATCAAGAGCCCCAAGTGTGGAGTGCGGCTGGGGTGTGTGGCGACGCGCCCGTCAGGGAGAGACAGGGCCGAGATATGAAGTTGCTCCTTGGCTTTCTGGCTGTCGTGATCTCTATTTCGGAAAAGGAAATCCTCTCCTGGTTCTAAATACAAGGAACACTTGTCTGAGCGTGGCCGGACAGTGGTATCACGGAACTGTGGGGGGAATTTTAGTATATGAGAAACATCGTATTGTATTATGTCTTGAATAGTGTATATTTATTCCTGTCAGCAGGGATTTTAACATACAGAGAACGTTTTTATTGCACAAGTGTCTTTTAAAAATGTTTTGTTAATTCCGTTTTTCCTTCCTTCTCTGGAATAAATGCTGTGATTAAGACCTGCTCAGTCTCGGTGCCCTGAACGCTGATTCACTTGCTCCCCTCCTCCTTGTATGAGAAAGAAATTTCTGGTGGGGCATTTAGACCTACCAGCTTTAGTAGCTACACATAGGGAGAATGAAGATTTTAAGTACTGAAAAATTACTTAAAATGCGTCAACCAAAAAAATCAGGACCACAGACAGCTACACTAAGCCGATTTTTAAAAACCTTCACTAACATTTAAACGTGCGTGCTGAGCATGAGAAAATGGAACATGAAAGACTAGATTATCACTCACCAGAGTAGACATCTGGGAACAGTTGGCTGACAGTTGCTTATCCACTTGTGGTACATCGTCTCCACATCCATCCACACTCACTAAACTTTGACTCATCGGTTGCATGTATTTCATGTCACTCTTTCTGGAGTCAGTCGTCCTGCACACCTCGTAATTGTACACATGGGGAAGAGTCGCTGACCCCAAAGTGTCTGAGTAACGTGGTGGATAATATGGAATGATAGGCAGGCTGGAGTGATACAGGATGCGAGACTGTCTCCACCTGTAGATTTTGACTGATATAATAACCACTAAACACGTGATGAAGAGGAAGGAAACTACAGCCAGAGCCAAGACTAAGTAAAAAGTCAGGTTGTCATTGTACTCCTTGTCGTGGGTCAAATCAGTGAACTCCGACAGCGCCTCGGGGAAGCTGTCCGCCACCACCACGTTAACAATGACTGTAGCTGAACGAGAAGGCTGCCCGTTGTCCTCCACTATAACAGTCAGTCTTTGTTTGACGGCATCTTTATCAGTGACTTGGCGGATAGTTCTGATTTCTCCATTCTGTAAGCCCACTTCAAACAGCGCCCTGTCTGTGGCTTTCTGCAGTTTATAAGAGAGCCAGGCGTTCTGTCCAGAGTCCACATCAACAGCCACCACTTTAGTCACCAGATAGCCCACATCTGCTGAACGAGGCACCATTTCAGCCACCAGAGAGCCACCAGTCTGGACTGGGTACAAAACCTGAGGAGCGTTGTCGTTCTGGTCCTGAACTATTATTTTAACTGTAGCCACTGAACTCAGAGGAGGGGATCCAGCATCACGTGCAGTTACATTAAATTCAAACCACTTGATCTGCTCGTAATCAAACGATCTCACTGCATGAATAACACCGGTATCTGAATTTACTGAAACCAGCGAAGACACAGCCAGCCCATTAATGTCCCTCTCCTGCAAATAGTAAGAAACTCTGGCATTTTGGCCCCAGTCTGCATCATTAGCACTCACGGTAAACACAGAAAGTCCAGGAGAGTTGTTCTCTGCGACAGTTTTAGTGTATTCTGAATGATCAAATTTGGGTGGACTATCATTGACATCAGATACTTTTACGTTGATGTTCTTCCTGCTTGACAGAGGCGGGGAACCCTGATCAGACACAGTTATGGTGAGATTATACTCAGGGATACTCTCTCTGTCTAAAAAGTCTTCAGTTACTATGGTGTAGTATCCCGTTAGTGAAGACTCGATTTTAAAAGGTACGTCAGAGTTAATGGAGCACTTGACAGCACCGTTACCATCAGAGTCTTCGTCATCCACGTTAAGAACAGCTATCGTTGTACCTGGAGGAGAATCCTCAGATATCGAGTTCGAAAATGACATGAGCTGTATTGTAGGGACGTTGTCATTTTCGTCAGTTATTTGAATGATAACTTTACATGTATCAGAATAACCTCCATGGTCACTAGCCTGCACGTTCAGTTGATAAGTCTTAGATTTTTCAAAGTCGAGTTTACCTGCGACTTTAATCTCTCCAGTTTGAACATTTACTTCAAAAAGTTGTTTCGTTTCTTTGGCGACATGAGCTATAGAATATGTTACCTGTCCGTTTACTCCTTTATCCGGGTCATTTGCACTGACAGTGGTTATCACGGTTCCTTCAGGAGAATTCTCTTTGACTTCTGCTTTATAAACAGCCTGACTGCATACAGGTGCGTTGTCGTTAGCATCCAGCACGGTAATATGAATATGCACTGTCCCTGATCTCCGTGGATCCCCGCCATCTGAAGCAATCAGCACGAGACTGTGAGTTTCCTCTTTCTCTCGGTCTAACGGGTTTTGTAAAACCATTTCAACAAACCTGCCTCCATCCGGCTGGTTTTGTACTTCTAGCTTAAAATGATCAGAGGGTTTAAGTGTGTATTTTTGAATATCATTGTTAGCAACATCAGCGTCATCTGCACTCTCCAATGAGAAGCGGGTCCCTGATGCTACACTTTCAGCAATTTTCAAGCTAATTTCGTCTTTTGGGAACAACGGACTGTTATCATTTATATCTGTCACCTCCACTGTCACACGATAAAGCTGGATAGGATTTTCTAAAATCACCTCGAAGCTGAAGCTACAGGGCGTCGTCTTTCCACACAGTTCCTCCCGGTCGATTCTCTCTTTAATAACAAGGATGCCTTTGTCTTTGTTTAAATCCACATACTGTCGGCCTCCTTTTGTAATAATACGAGCTTTACCTGAAATCAGCCTCGCAACATCCAAGCCTATATCTCTCGCAATGTTTCCGACAAACGATCCTTCGGCCTGCTCCTCCGGGATGGAATACCGAGCCTGACCAGCCACTGCGCGCAGCTCGATGAGACAAAGAATCAACACCAGCGCTTGCCGTCGGCCTCTGTCAGCCATTATCCACATAGAGGCCATCATAAATAAGACGGTGCAGTAACAGTGACTCTTCTTATTTTCAAACAGATGTATTTAAAAAAAAAAATCACATTTCCATATTTCAGGCAAGGATATTCCAGCAGGAATTCTACACCCTACCGTAACGGATTAGAGCAGCGTCGTTCAAGCAGAGAAACACTGAGTAGGGGAGGACCGCTGTATCACCGATTTGGACGGAAAGTCAGTGATGTATCAACAGCGGCACTTAGAGCCCATTTACGGTAATGTCTGTGTTATAAACATGATCAGGCCACATGTAATCGTTGTATCCAACAGTGAAGGCAAGTTTAGATCCATTTGTAAATTGAAAAAGAATAATACACCCCGTATTATTTAGCAATATCAATAAAGCCTGTGCTCTTACATTAACAATATTGTGCGCCACAGAATCATTTTGCAAGTCTTTTTTTATTTCAGTTCAGCTATATTTTTTAGATCACTGCTGATATGTCATAAGAAATTTAAATGACTAAAACTAAATGGAACTAAATATGTAATCACTTCTATTTAATGGTAGCTGTGTTCAGCACAGGAAGTGAGCTGTGCTATTTCTGTTTTCTACTGAGCGTCAGATATTATTTTTTTTATATTTTTTTCATTTTATAACGAAAGTTGAAGTGTTGCCTCATTTCTTATTGTACCACAGTTGATTGTAATAAAGATATGAAGTTTATTATTTTATTTCATAGAGTATTAAAGTTGCAAAACTTTATGTATTTTTAAATGCTCCCCTTTCGAAACAAATTTCAAAACTGACCACCGACCGTTTCAGCACAAGGGACAGCAACACTAAAGGCGAGTGAAAGACAGTAAAGGAATGTGACGTTCAGGAGCAAAATTTAAAAAAAGAAGCGGGGGAGGGGGGGGGGGTTAAATAAGAAGAGGATAAGACAGAGCGGGAGCGAGAGAGAGAGAGAGAGAGGGCCAGAGATTACTTGATTGAAGTATCACTCACCAAAGTAGACATTTGGGAAAAGTTGCCTGGCCGTTGCTTATCCACTTGCGGTACAACGTCTCCACATCCATCCACACTCACTAAACTTTGACTCATCGGTTGCATGTATTTCATGTCACTCTTTCTGGAGTCAGTCGTCCTGCACACCTCGTAATTGTACACATGTGGAAGAGTCCCTGTCCCCAAAGTGTCTGAGTAACGTGGTGGATAATATGGAATGACAGGCAGGTTGGAGTGATACAGGATGCGAGACTGTCTCCACCTGTAGATTTTGACTGATATAATAACCACTAAACACGTGATGAAGAGGAAGGAAACTACAGCCAGAGCCAAGACTAAGTAAAAAGTCAGGTTGTCATTGTACTCCTTTTCGTGCGTCAACTCAGTGAACTCCGACAGCACTTCAGGGAAGCTGTCCGCCACCGCCACGTTAACAACAACTGTAGCTGAACGAGAGGGCTGCCCGTTGTCCTCCACTATAACAGTCAGTCTTTGTTTGACAGCATCTTTATCAGTGACTTGGCGGATAGTTCTGATTTCTCCATTCTGTAAGCCCACTTCAAACAGCGCCCTGTCTGTGGCTTTCTGCAGTTTATAGGAGAGCCAGGCATTCTGTCCAGAGTCCACATCAACAGCCACCACTTTAGTCACCAGATAGCCCACATCTGCTGAACGAGGAACCATTTCAGCCACCAGAGAGCCACCAGTCTGGACTGGGTACAGAACCTGAGGGGGGTTGTCGTTCTGGTCCTGAACTATTAATTTCACAGTCACATTGTTACTGAGTGGAGGAGAGCCTCCATCCTGCGCTTTCACAACAAAAAACAGCTGTTTGATTTGTTCATAATCAAAGGAGCGCACTGCGTGCACGACTCCGCTTTCTGCATTTACTGAAACATATTCAGAAACTGGAGTTCCACCAATATTAGTGTTCTCCAGTATATAAGATATCCGGGCGTTTTGGTTTTCATCGGGATCTTTTGCTCCCACAGTAAGAAGAGAAACGCCGGGTGAGTTATTTTCTGTAATAAACGCACTATAAACACTTTGAGAAAATACTGGAGAGTTATCGTTCACGTCAGAGACCTTTAAATGAAAGGTTCTTTTTGTTGAAAGAGGAGGTATTCCTGCATCTGTCGCAACAACTGTGATGTTATATTCTGAAACGCTTTCACGATCTAATACAGTATCTGTTACCAACGTATAGTAATTTCTTAAATTAGATTTAATTTTGAAAGGCGCGTTTTGTTCTATTCTACAGTTTACTTGTCCGTTATCACCCGAGTCCAGATCTTTTACATTTATGATACCAATAGTGGTACCAGGAGGAGAGTCCTCGGACACGGGACTAGTGAATGACATAATGCTTATGATAGGGTCGTTATCATTAACATCAGTTACTTCAATTATCACTTTGCTTGAATCTGTTAGTCCACCCTGATCTTTTGCATCTATCCTGAGTTCATATTTTTTATCCTTTTCGAAATCTATGAGGCCTGAGACAAACAGCGAACCAGAGAACTGATCTATGGACAATAAATCAGCTATATTGCTCTTCACGTTTGAAATTGAATATGTGACATAACCATTTGATCCACTATCTGCGTCTGTAGCATTCACCGTGACAATATTAGTACCTTTTGCTGCATTTTCTATCACCGTCGCCTTATAAACAGACTGTTTGAAAACGGGAGCGTTGTCATTTACATCTAAAACATTAAGGTCTATATTTACGGTGCCAGATCTCTGAGGATTTCCACCATCGATTGCTATAAGCTCCAAAGATAGATGTGGTACCTTCTCTCGGTCCAACTGCCTCTGAAGCACCATCTCTGCATATTTACTCCCGTCTGGATTCACATGCTGTTTTAAAACAAAGTTGTCGTTCGAGGTTAAAACATAATTTTGAAGTCCATTTACTCCAACATCAGGATCCTCTGCACTATCTAACACAAATCGGGCACCGAGATTTGCGGACTCGCTAATGTCTAGCATAATATTTGCTTTCTTGAATATCGGAGAATGATCATTAACATCTAAGACTTCTATTGTTATGGGGTGCAGTTCCATCGGATTTTCTAATATCAGTTCAAAGCTGAAACTACACGGCGTTACGTCCCCACAAAGCTGCTCTCGGTCTATTCTCTCATTCACGACCAGAATCCCTTTGTCTGTCTGCAGCTCGGTGTAGTGAACGTTTTCTCCGGTCACGATACGGGCCCGCCCTGAGCTGAGCCTTTTCAGATCCAAGCCAAGATCCTGCGCCACATTACCGATAGCAGAGCCTTTCTTCATCTCCTCGGGTATAGAATACCGAATTTGACCACCTACCATGTTAACCGCAAGAAGCAGCAACAGAAGGAGTTCTATGCGACGTCGCAGTTCATAAAATAATCGGCATTCTGAAGAAATGCAGGTCAGAGATCTTAATGTCGCCATCACTCCGATGGAAATAATCAAAGGATGGAAGCTTTTTCCTTTGTATGTAGTAGAAAACGTCCCAATATATAAGCGCCGGCGTTACATTTACAACTGTCCTCAAGCTGTAAATGCTTCAAATGAAAGTCTGTGAATCCGCACTGGACAACACACGGAGAGCCTTCCTCACGTCATGATCACCGAGAGGATGGACTGAATGAGAACGTAACGCAAAAAAAAAAAAAAAATCATCTTACTGGCCAACAGCGTCGCTTAGAGTCGAAAATGTGAAAAATCTCATGAGGCTTGAATAAAACTAAAAATAACAATTGTTAAACCGGAAATGAATGCATTTTATCTAGTATGGAGATTAATATGAAACGAGTTGAAAAAGACAATACTATCGACTGACTGAAATACTTTAACTTCAGCATCAATGTTTTAACACATTTCACAGAAAGGGAATTAAAATCTATCCAGATTCAATTGAAAATGTTTTTTTTAATCAAACATCTGCTCAAAAAACTGTGCCGCTCATTATTTAAATAAAATAAAAATATTACCTGATTCATAAGAAAAAGCTACTTTTAAGGGAAATATACAATTATGCACCGGTACAAGGAAATCACATACATAAGATGATTGACTAATTCGGTTGTTGTAAGGTCTGATGAGAACTTTCGTATGAAATGAGATGAAGCATTTGGAAATACGTAAAATTAAAAAAAGAAGGAAATTATTAAGATATGAGTATATGACTGGGTTCTGCTTTAGACTAATATTTTGTGATAGCAAACGTTTGTAGAACTGCTCATTTCCGTGTCAAGAACACCAACACAGCCTGGACAACAAATAATAACAGTGATAATGATAAAAGGAAAAAAAACAGGAATGCGGACCAACTCTGTCTGGGGGTATGAACGAAAAAACTGACCATGGATTTATCCATATAATTGAAAGAAACATACGACCAGGCGAGTGATTACTTCGGAGGATGTGATAGGGAAATTATAATCGTGGGTACATTACGAAAACATAGGCGCTGTCCATGGTGCTGGAAGTTATTTGATACTGCAATATAGGGAAAAAAGTATATATTTTTGAAAAAAAACATATACGTTATACGGAAAAACTAACCTCTAGAGGAGAGTCTGGTTCATCCAGGATGCTCTTTTCACTCTGTATCCGCTGCATCGTTCCTGTAGCACTGGGGTCCATTATCAGCACGTTCTGACTACCAGCTCTGCCGAACTTACAGTCACTCTTTCTGGAGTCAGTCGTCCTGCACACCTCGTAATTGTACACATGTGGCAGAGTCCCTGTCCCCAAAGTGTCTGAGTAACGTGGTGGATAATATGGAATGACAGGCAGGTTGGAGTGATACAGGATGCGAGACTGTCTCCACCTGTAGATTTTGACTGATATAATAACCACTAAACACGTGATGAAGAGGAAGGAAACTACAGCCAGAGCCAAGACTAAGTAAAAAGTCAGGTTGTCATTGTACTCCTTGTCGTGGGTCAACTCAGTGAACTCCGACAGCACTTCAGGGAAGCTGTCCGCCACCGCCACGTTAACAATGACTGTAGCTGAACGAGAGGGCTGCCCGTTGTCCTCCACTATAACAGTCAGTCTTTGTTTGACAGCATCTTTATCAGTGACTTGGCGGATAGTTCTGATTTCTCCATTCTGTAAGCCCACTTCAAACAGCGCCCTGTCTGTGGCTTTCTGCAGTTTATAGGAGAGCCAGGCATTCTGTCCAGAGTCCACATCAACAGCCACCACTTTAGTCACTAGATAGCCCACATCTGCTGAACGAGGAACCATTTCAGCCACCAGAGAGCCACCAGTCTGGACTGGGTACAGAACCTGAGGGGGGTTGTCGTTCTGGTCCTGAACTATCAGTTTCACAGTCACATTGTTACTGAGAGGAGGAGAGCCTCCATCCTGCGCCTTCACAACAAAAACCAGCTGTTTGATTTGTTCATAATCAAAGGAGCGCACTGCGTGCACGACTCCGCTTTCTGCATTTACTGAAACATATTCAGAAACTGGAGCTCCACCAATATTAGTGTTCTCCAGTATATAAGATATCCGGGCGTTTTGGTTTTCATCGGGATCTTTAGCCCCGAGAGTGAGAACAGAAATGCCCGGAGAGTTATTCTCTATGATAAACGTATTGTAAACACTTTGAGAAAATACTGGAGCATTATCGTTCACGTCAGAGACCTTTAAATGAAAGGTTCTTTTTGTTGAAAGAGGAGGTATTCCTGCATCTGTCGCAACAACTGTGATGTTATATTCTGAAACGCTTTCACGATCTAATACAGTATCTGTTACCAACGTATAGTAATTTCTTAAATTAGATTTAATTTTGAAAGGCGCGTTTTGTTCTATTCTACAGTTTACTTGTCCGTTATCACCCGAGTCCAGATCTTTTACATTTATGATGCCAATAGTGGTACCAGGAGGAGAGTCCTCGGACACGGGACTAGTGAATGACATAACACTTATGATAGGAGCGTTATCATTAACATCAGTTACTTCAATTATCACTTTGCTGGAATCTGTTAAACCTCCCTGATCTCTGGCGTCGATTCGAAGTTCGTACTTTTTGTCTTTTTCATAATCAATAAAGCCTGTTATTGAAATTATACCATTTTTTTCGTCAATCATAAACACATCACTGAGACCACTGTTGAGATCTGAAAAATAATAAGTCACAATGCTATTTGACCCGAAATCTGCGTCACTGGCATTAACAGTGGTAACGTAAGTATCTCGGGGAGAATTTTCCATGACTGTGGCTTTATATACAGATTGATTGAATACTGGAGCATTATCATTTGCATCGAGAACAGTTATATCGATATTTACGGTGCCAGATCTCTGCGGAGTCCCACCATCTACAGCTATTAGCTTTAGAGACAGATTAGGATTTGTCTCCCTGTCCAGCGGCTTCTGAAGCACCATCTCTGCGTATTTCTTCCCGTCTGCATTCGAGTTTTGTTTAAGAATAAAATTGTCATTGTCGGTCAGAAAATATTCTCTAAGTCCGTTAACACCCACGTCTGGATCTTCTGCACTGGCTAAAGAAAATCGAGCTCCAGCACTGGCTATTTCGCTGATTTCGAAATTGATGCTCTTTCGTTTGAAGGTTGGCGAATGGTCGTTTATATCCGTTATTTCAACTGTGATTTGATGTAGCTCCATAGGATTTTCTAAAATCACTTCAAAGCTGAAACTGCACGGGGTTGTGTCTCCACACAGCTGCTCTCGGTCTATTCTCTCTTTGACGACTAAAATCCCTTTGTCTGTCTGCAGCTCGGTGTACTGGATGCTGTCGCCGGTCACGATACGGGCCCGACCCAAACGGAGCCTTTTGAGATTCAAGCCGAGGTCCTGTGCTACATTACCGATGAGCGAGCCTTTCTTCATCTCCTCTGGGATAGAGTATCGAATATGTCCAGTGACCATATGAATCAGACAAAAAATGAGCAAGAAGAAATGCCAATTGCGTCCACAGCCAAAGCGCCATTTTATACACCGGGTGTATCCTTTTAATCCACAATCCATAGTTAAAGGAAATTGTAAATCGCTTCACTTATTCTGGGTTCTAAAGTTAATATATCACCAATGATAAACTACTGTATTCTATCTTTTAGATATAAAGAATGAGATGTGCGTTTTCTTCGATTGTGAGCCCATATAATGAATAATATCGGATTTTCTTGACGAGCAACGGCGGTAAGGGAGGAGATTGTGTCATAGTGTTTTAGAAAAAAATGTTATATTGACCAACAGCGTCCCTTAGAGTCCACAATCAGTAACACCGTGCGCTTTCTTTCTTTCTTTGGCAATGTCATGAGACATTTAGTGCAATCAAAAAAATACAAATATGTCCAAAATGTTCTGCTACAACAGGTGTTCAGAAAAAATACTTCCGCTACTACTACTACTACTTCTAATAATAATAATTATAACAAAGGTTCCCAAAAATGTATATTAAAATACTATATGAATTACATTTGAATATGCATTGTCAAAACAGAACACACTCCATGAAAACACAAAAGTACAACAGTAAAAAGAGCTGTAAAGCTAAAAGGCACGACATTTAAGGTTGGCAAAGCCAGCTGACGGTGAAAACTCACATAAAGACGATGTTTTAATTACAAATGCAAGTAATATTGGTACTAGTGTTCCAACCATCTCGAATAAGTCACCTCACATAAGTTGATTCAGGAAATACGTCACTGTGTTCAGGTATGGATGTACTGCTACAGCTACACACTTAACATTTCGCATATTTCATAAAAAGTAGGACAGGGTCGGAAAAACATGAATGCGAACTAACTAAATACGAGAAACGTAAACCGCCAAAACATATCACTGACTGTGGGGGGTAATATTTAATTTCTCATATTGTCAACATTCTGCTTAATGAAGACCTTTTTCAAGTAGGAATATAGATAGATAAAAACAACAACAACTACAAAATGCTAAGAGAATTTGAAACGAACGACCTAACAGAAACCGCAGTTTCAACAGAATTTTTAAACGGCAGAGTCCAGACCAAGAATACCGGGACTCGGACAGGAAAGAAGAACACAAACAAAACAAAAGAAAATTAAATTAAATAGAAGTGTTGCCTTAGAGTAAACTATAGATGTATAAGTCCTAATGTAGTGATTATCTGATTCTGACATAATCCAGTGAATGCAAAGTCTTACGGTGACTCAGGCAGCATCGAAAGCATAAGCACTATAACATAAGTGGGTATGAAAGAGTCGAGTAATTGAATAGACATTGGACTCCACAAGAGAGAAAGAATGCTTTTAAGAAACACATACCGTCTTTCTACTTTTGTTAATATTTTACCTTTCCAGGGTCCCCTTGAAATATCTTCATAACTATGGCAAGCGAATGGTAAGCAAGTAAAACACTGCCAGGAAACATTGCACAAAAACATGGCGTGTGATCATCAATACTCTATAAACAAAGACATTTGGATATAGAAAACAACTGGAAACTATCAGTCACTTTATAAGAAAACATTCCTTTAAAAAGTAACCATGTGAGACCTTTTACAAAAGCTTTGTAGGCCTACCTATATGCAGAGAAAAACTGAGACGCTGTCCTTGGTGCTGAGAAATGTATAATG